AGGACCCTCGGCCTGGTTCACAGACGTGGTCATTTTGTTGTGTCCTCACGTGGTGGGAGGGGTGGGGGTCTCTCTGGGTCTGTCTTCTAAGGGCATCAGTTCTCTCATGAGAGTTCCGTCCTTATGACCCAATCACCTCTCAGAGGCACCATCCCACTGGGCATGAGGTTTCACCATATTAATTTTGGCACGAGAGAAGACTGAGTCCGTAGTGTCTTGGTGCTGCCCTTTGTACCTGGGGAAGTGCTTTGCCCGAGTGGCTCTCAGACTGTCTTGGTGAAGGGCCAGGTGTTAAGTCCCCAGTTCATTATGCTGTAACACTTTGGGAAAACACAGTATGTATGAGTTACTAGAAAAAGGAAATTAGAAATTTTATAGCAATTTGATGGAATAATTTTTATGTTTTGAATCTAGATTGCATGTCTCTGTGGGGTTTTGTGATATTTTCTCCCAGTTTCTGTACATATTTATCCCTTAGTGGACAGTGACACACAGGACGGGCAGCAGCCTGTGATCCACAGTTTGAGTAGGTGACACTGATCTGCGTCTGCAGTAATCCTTCTGTCAGCTACTTGGTGAGGTGTGTCCTCCATTTTACAGATCAGGATGCAAGTATCTAAGTGATTAAGTAAGATGCTCAAGGCTACGACAGTGCTGCAGCTGGAATTCTGACCCAGAGTTGCTGCTAACCCTCAAGGGGTCTTTGGTGGAATTAGGGGAAAGCATACCTTCCCCTGAGCTGGCCGGCTTCCCGCCTTCACTCTGCATGCTTGGGTGGAACACGCCTGAACTACTGGGGGATGTGGCCCTGTTCAAACATAGCTGTGCGCTCCCCGCAGCCTTTTCCCGGGATAGAAGGGGCGGGGAGAGGCAGTGGGAAGACAAGGATGAGGGGACACTAAGACTTGTCTTTTGGTCATTTTATTGTGCATTTTCACAGGATGGTGGTTGAAGCTGAAAAAAGCAAAAAAAGTTAGTGAAAATCACTGATTTTCAGTATTTCTCATGTAAGTTGTCTTCAACCTTAAGCTTCTGGAGTACCTGTCAATTTAATTACCATATACTGTCCTGGGACTCCAATTATTAGAAATTTCTATGCACATTCAGCCAGGTAATGAGGGTTGAAGACAACAGAGAAAAGAAATTAATATTAAATGACCTATAAAAATATTTATGAATATATTCCCATACCCTTGCTGCCTCTGCCATCACACTTCTACTACGAGTTCCCAGAGTTGGC